ACATCCATAGCAATAAGACAACTCATAAGTTCAACACATAACACTAACACATCTAGAGTTTTTCACCACTCATTCTCTGTATACAACGAGTAATTGAGCCATCTCCTGCAAAAAAAAAATACGGTTTACATAATTAGCAAACCAAAATTTCATGTTTGATAAAATTATATCATAGACTTACAAGTACGTCTACAAATTTAAGTTAACAACATAGACAAACAAAAAATTTGATAACTTCCTAATTACAACAGATTATCTTCTGAAAATCATTCAAGACACTTATGATTAACTAACACCCACTTTCATAAAAAAAAGTTTTGAAAAAACTTAATGAATAATACACCAATCCACTTTTGATAGATTTTACATGGTAGACTACATATTCAATCTACAGAGGTGTAGACGTTTTATTCAGTTTACAGGTTGTAGACTGAACTTTAGGTCTACGTTTAGGTTGGTTTCTGCAATTACCAAATTCACGGGTTACTTTCTGTATTTGAAACAAAATGTGATTTTATACGAGTAGACTTACTTTTTAGTCTACATTTTTTAAAAGGTTAGTTTTGCAATTGACCAGAATTCGATCAGAGTTTGACTTTTAGAAGTAGACCTATTATGCAGTCTATATTTTTAAATTTGTTTGAAAGAGGTTAGTTTTGCAATTGACCAAAGTTGACTTTCTACGAGTAGACAAAACTAAATGTCTACGTAACTGTAGACTGCAGTAAAAGTCTACATTATAACCCGACATGTTAGTTTTGCAATTGACCAACATAAAATAGTAGACTTCTTATGCAGTCTACTTTTTTTTTCTAAGTTTTGTAGNAATTGACCAAAGTTGACTTTCTACGAGTAGACAAAACTAAATGTCTACGTAACTGTAGACTGCAGTAAAAGTCTACATTATAACCCGACATGTTAGTTTTGCAATTGACCAACATAAAATAGTAGACTTCTTATGCAGTCTACTTTTTTTTTCTAAGTTTTGTAGACTGCATATGAAGTCTACACGTAAAGTAAGTTTTTTTCTAAGTTTTGTAGACTGCATATGAAGTCTACACGTAAAGTAAGTTTTAGTCAAATACAAAAGAAACCTATTCAACGAAGTCAAAGTTTTGGTCAAATGCAAAACTGATCTTCCGTAGACTTACCTAGCAGTCTACAAATTGTAGACCTCCACGAAAGTCTACTATGGTAAGTCAAAATTTTGGTCAAATGCAAATCTAACCTGTTTTATGTAGATTTCTTAGTAAGTCTACCAATTTTTTTTTGTTTTTGGTTTCAAAGGTAAAGATGTTGACGTACTTGTAGGTCTACATTACAAAAAAAATTATTTTGGTCAATTGCAAAAGTAACCTGTGCGTTGACAAGTAGACTGCATCGTAAGTCTACACGTATGTGTAGACATTTAATACAGTCTACTTTCGCGATACAGATCAGAGATATGACGAAAAGCATGTAAAGAGTTACCTTGACACCGGTTTAAAGCTTGTTTTCAAGCTTTTCCACCGTCCAGAATCCAAATATGAGCAAAAGAAGCAACCTTTACGATCCACTTGTGGATAAAATCGAAACTATGAAGTTTGTGTTTATGAAAATGAGAGTTATGAGGATTGTTTAGATGAAAATAGAGAGGAAATTAGAGGAAATGAAGTATTGTTTGTTTAGAAAGTGAAATAAGTGGTTGAAATTTCATAAACACAAGCTTAAAGAGCTCATCAATGGTGGTTTTGGGTGGTTGCAAATATTGATGACAATGACATTATGGTAAATAAGGAGAACTGTTTAGGGTGTAATAGGTTTTTTATAATTTTCGAAAATAAAATCAGATTTAAAAATAATGGCAATTTGGTAAATAGGTGGAAACATGAGGAGAGTTTAGGTTTTTTAAGAGTGAATAGTAATGACAAAAAAAAAGAGGTTGGTTTTGTGTTT